GGTCAGCTCTGGTCTTCATCTTACTGTCATCACAAAATCTGACCGTGTTTGACCTGAAGAAATACTCTGCTTCAGAGGAGGCTCTTCTGAGGCTGCTGCCTGTGATCAAAGTCTCCCAGAAAGTTCTGTAAGTTTATTCATCTATAAATGATCTACTATTTTCAACAGAAAACAAACTAGTCTACCACTTGTGAAAAAACTCTCTCAGCATTAACGCGTTAATCCCGATGCGATCACGGTCAGAATTGAAAGCATCAATTTAAGTAAATCACATTTAACCTCAAGTTATTTTGTCCCTTCAGGCTCTCCGTAGATAGTGGTCCTCAGTGTCTCCCTGTAGTCTCAGTGATGTAAAAGAAGGACACTGCTGCATCTTTGAATGTTTCATTTCACTTTAACAAACTCTCAGACAGCTCAGCTGACGAGTCCAAAGTAATATCCACCTTATGACATCACACACTGACCTTATGACATCACACAGCCTGTCCGATTTATCGGTCAGTCGAGTCCAGTGACTATCAGTATCGGCTAATTTTATCTCCGATATGCACCGATATTACTCGATTTCTTCACCATTCAAATAGCATTTCATTTGAGTTTCATTGTATTACACTAGCAGTTCTCTGTCACCAGCAGAGGGCACTATATGGATTTCAAAAAGCATCATCATCCAGTGTCGAGCGGTGATGCTCAGTTACTTTCCACCTGAGTGACCTTCTTGTCTTCATTATAAATCTTTTTAAAGTGTTTGATAACTGAGGGATCAACACATTAAATGTGTGTATCTATATCTACAGATCGAACAGATCTGAGAAAGATATCAGCTGATATATCCGTATCTGATTTTTTCCCTTCCTAATATCGGGCTCTAATTAGTATAAGTGACTGACTTTAAAATGCTCGACCATTGAACCTCTAGCTGGTGTGAACATTCAAACACACGGATCCAAGAGCCGTGGATTCATTTCTTGAGTACAAGCAAAAAGTGGATGTATGGATTTCATGTAGACTTAAAGAAAGATAAATAAAGCAGAGTACATTACCTAAGCATCCAGGAAGGCAACAGGGAATCTAAGCTTCACAGGATCAGGCTAAATCAGAACTTACAGCCATGAACAAACTGAATGAATTTGCAGAGCAGTGGAAACATGGTTGCAGAGTGACAGCGGGTGACATGCCCACATGTAAGGATCACCTGTTTCTTATATTGGTCATGACACTGAGTGACTCCACCTACTTCTCGCTCAGGGAAGCTGCAGGCTTGAGATTTATAACATATATATTTATAACTTGTTTTCATACTGTTTTCTCCCCCAGGCTGAGTAGCTGTAACCTGACAGAGAGAAGCTGTGAAGCTCTGTCCTCAGTCCTCAGCTCCAAGTCCTGCAGTCTGAGAGAGCTGGACCTGAACAACAACAACCTGCAGGATTCAGGAGTGCAGCTGCTTTCTGATGGACTGGAAAGCTCACATGGCAGACTGGAAACTCTTAGGTCGGGTTCTAGCTGTTTGAAAATGCTCAATCTGACATCTTTTTATGATTTCACATTGTATTAATTAGAATCTACCTGTGGATGTCTCCCTTCAGGCTGAGTCACTGTGGTCTGTCAAAGAAGAGCTGTGGAGCTCTGTCGTCAATCCTCCGCACACAGTCCTGCAGTCTGAGAGAGCTGGACCTGAGCAACAACAACCTGCAGGATTCAGGAGTGCAGCTGTTGTCTACAACACTACAGAGTCCACACTGCAGACTGGAAACTCTCAGGTCAACATTCATGGTCCCATTTCATTGATGGCACTTGCAGTAGTTATAGAGTCAGGATAATCTTTTCTATGGATGACCTCGCACATGTGATGTTTTTGTGTCTGCAGACTGTCAGGCTGTCTGATCACAGAGAAAGGCTGCAGATCTCTGGCCTCAGCTCTGACCTCAAACCCCTCCCATCTGAAGGAGCTGGACCTGAGCTACAATCATCCTGGAATCACAGGATTAACGCTGTTGACCGGTCTACAGAATTCACAATCAAAGCTGGACACTCTCAGGTATGATGAGATCTTTGTCTGTCTGGGTCACACACGAGCGTAAAACACTGAACTATGAGCGTTTAGTTTTAGAAGTTATGAGTAAAAATATAAACAAACATTATTATGATTATTAGAAAGGTACAGTTCATGCATGAGCACAAACACGGGCTAGTTGAATATATTTTATATGAGTGAGGTAATGTCCATGTTCTGTGGTCACAGAGGATGTGTTAATCTGCCCCCCCCCCCCTTTTTCAGGTTGGAGCCTGCTGGAATCCAGTGGTTGACACCAGGTTTGATGAAGTGTGAGTGTTTTTTTTAAATATTTGTCACATATTCACAGCGTATTTAAAATGAGTCACTACAGCTGTTTGAATATTAAATGATTGTTAATAAACTTCCTGATTACATCACACTTATACTATAATCATTGACACTGGAGCCATAGCTTGGTATTATCTGCTGTGTTGTTGTTGCTCTGTCTCAACCCATCTCTCGTCTATCCCACTTTCTCGGTTCATCCGGTCACGTCAGCTGCTTGTTCACCAATGAGCTCAGTTCGGCTCGACGTTTCTGCCGGTTGAGAAGAACGTGTTTCCTTACAACGCTGCAGAGCGCTCGCTCTTGGTGGATTGATGTTTGTACGGTCTAAAACCGGGGCCCGTTTCAAAAATGAGACACACCTCCAACCCCGATCCACTCACATTCACACGGAGGAGTTATCAATCAGAACTCACCTCAAATAATACGAGACAACTGAAATCCACCTCTGTGGCAGGTTTTCTATTAAAAGTTGTGAACGCTCCGCCCTGATTTGTGAGCACAGAAAGCGTGAGCTGTGGTCGTGCGTCGTAACGATTCAGTCATACAGTATACGCCGGCCTTTACGCCTCTATCTCGGGTTTGAGTGACCTCCCTTTCTGGAGCAGGAAACGCAGAGCTTCCTTCACGTCAGGGGGAACAGACTCTGGGTCTACACTAATCCTGCTTTCTAACACCGACTGTCGCTCTTTTGAAATGTGTCTTGAAATTGCTTCTGTTATGGTTTGTGGCTACGTTAATGAAAATCCATTGATTGAGTCCGTCAGTAATCATCGATGATCATTTCATAACGCCATCTTTATCGTGTCTCGTTCTCTTCTTCAGATTCCTGTGAACTCACAATCGACACCAACACGGTAAACCACAGAATCCAACTGTCTGACAACAACAGGAAGGGGACACTTGTGGAGGGCTCTGTGTTATATCCTGATCATCCAGACAGATTTGACCCCACTGCGCTGCTGTGTAGAGAAGGTCTGACTGGGCGCTGTTACTGGGAGATTGAGTGGACAGGAGGAGTGTTTATATCAGTGAGTTACAGAGGAATCAGCAGGAAAGAAAACAATGAGTCTGGAAGAAACGATCAGTCCTGGAGTCTGAGCTGCCGTGATAATGAAGATGAAGTTGAATACTCTGTCCTTCACAATAACGTAGAGACGCCTATTACCCGCTCCTCCTCCCAGCTCTATTTCTCCTCACCCCCCTCAACCACGCACAGAGCAGCGGTGTATTTGGACCACACTGCTGGCTCTCTGTCCTTCTACAGCGTCTCCTCCGACACACTGATCCACCTCCACACCTTCAACACCACCTTCACTGAACCTCTCTATACTTGGTTTGGGTTTGGGTTCTGGCTCGGATATGAAGGTTCCTGTGTCTCTGTGTCGTCTGTAGAGGGAGAGTCTCCTTCTGTTCACTGCTGATCAGTATCACCCCATTCAAGGCTCTCCATAACCTCCGTCACCTCTGTACCTCTCTGATCTCCTTCATACCGACACACTGACCCTACTCTCCGGTCTTCCTCCTCCACGCCGCTCTCTGTTCCTCCTGCCCGCTTAACCTCCATCATGGACCCGCCGTCTCTGGAACTTTCTACCACCAACCCCCCATGACACAGACTTTATCTCGACTTTAGAATCCTGTCTCCAAACTCACCGATTTAGAATTCCCCCCGCAGGACTACCCATCGTTCCTGGGACATGGCCTTCTCCATTGCTGCTCCCACCCTCTGGAATTAACTCCCAAAAACCAGAGACCCCCTCCCTCACTCTCCACCTTCAAGAAATCCCTAAAAAAAAAAGAAACAACTCTCCTCTTCACCGCCATGTGATTACTCTTAGTACATTCTTCTAGTTTTTACGCATGAATTGCAAGATGTTCCCCTATGTTTCCAAGGTATAGAAGACAGCAACGAACCAGGTTTGGGTCGGAGTTCTTGTAAGTTGGTTATAAATGTTAGTATAAAACAGCAGCCTCTCCCTGAGAGGGTGTATTTGATCTGTGGTAATAGAGCTTATAGCTGCATGCCATACAAACATTTAAAAGGGACCTGTTATTTGGCCTACTTAGTTCCTATGATTAGAGAAGTAGAATCTAAAGAAATTGCTGCCCTGCATCCACCAATGGATAGACAGAAAAGATAAATATTTGGGTTTCAGGAAGCAGCAAGCATCCTTTTGCCATCATATGGTGTTTATGTGTCTCAGCAGGAAATTAAAGCATTATCTAAAGTATTGGAGAATCATCTTAACGCCTCTAGTAGAGCTATGTTAGCTGAACACAAAGAGCTTCAGGAGGTTAAAAACGTGGTAATGCAGAACAGAATGGCTCTTGATCTCCTCCTAGCTGCAAAAAGGGGAACCTGCAAAGTTATTGGTACTGAATGTTGTTCCTATATTTCTGATGCTACTACTGATGTTATGAATATGGTACACGACACTGCACAAGGGATAAGAGAACTGCATGAAAACCATGGGTTCAATTTGGGGATTTTAAAGGAATGTTGGGTTCCTGGGGTGCTGGTATTTCTAACCACTCTTGTGGTTACCTTAATGCGATTCTATTTTTAGTAGTATGTCTGATAACTATAATTAAAGCCATTTTTCGACATGCTGTTAAACCTATTAGCCAGGCCTCTCAGGTTGTTATTGATAATAATATTGAACTCATACCATGTAAATTAGGGTTAAAGGTTTTGAATTTAAGGTTTGAATTTTTCTAGGTTTTGTTTTTATTTTGACAATCACATTTAATATTAAATGAATGTTATATTTTGAATGAAGACAAATTAATGGTGTATTTTGAATAAAATGCTATGTTGGTGTTGGGTTTTATCAAGTCAACTGTGGTTATATTTTTTAATAATTAGATTTAATTATTAATAATATAAATAACAATATCATTAAACTATGTTTAATCAACTCTTGGGGCACCACCCTGGAATAGGGAAATATAACCAAATATCACTCAAATCAGTCTCAAATTAGTTACTTAATTACTAATATTATTAATAATTAATAACTATATTTAATAAATTGAAGGCGTGAAATCCGTACACAAAGCCCTCGCACCCAGCTTATATCACAATGCAAATACACCAGTAATCACAAACAACTGCTCTCTTAAATTATAACAGAATTTATTTAAACAAAGCAACATCAATCCAAAATTTAATCAAACAAATAACTTACAAACTAATCTAAGCAAACAAACATTATCAAGGAAGGCTTGTGGAAAAGGAGTAAGAATGGAGTTGTGTGTGTGTGTGTGTGGATGAGAGAGAGAGAGAGGGGGGGCGAGAGAGGGGGGAGATTGCTTCGTTCTACGTGGTCGCTCTTCCGATGGCGCACACCTAACAAAGACCTGGCGTGGTCTATTGTCTAAAGAGGCCGAGTTCGGCCCTGCACGATCTGTGTCTCTGAGACGTCTGGATGACTGCGAGTGTACAGAAATCTATGTGTGAGTCTGCAGCCTACGTGTGTACTGGCGTGGTGGTGGAGTTAGTCTCCAGATGTGCGTCTACACAGGAATATGTGTGTGTGTGTGTGTGTGTGCGTGCGTGCGTGCGTGCGTGCGTGCGTGCGTGCGTTAGATGCGTGCCTGAAGAGGCCGGATCACAGTTCGAATCCCGCGCCACAACTCGGAGTAATTCCCTTCATTCACAGAAACAAACCAATGGCCGAATTCAAGTTAATACGGCTTACACTGGCCTTTCTGATCAGAAGAGTAATACCCGGTTATAAAGCTGTTACGATAAACACATACAGGACGCAGCGGTCCGAAACAGGAACAACAAGAGTTTTAAACAGGTAAAACTCAGGACGCGGCGGTCCAACAAAGAGAAAAATTACAGTTTTCACATCAATCAAACAATTGTTAAAAACACTCTCTAAAGCTAATTCTGCCCAGACCTAATTAAGCATCACTTGTGAATCGCTTTGCCCGTGATTGGTGAAGGAAAAGAGTCCGGCATTGGAACAGATCTCCCGTCCGTCCTGGTGCAGAGGCGTTTGATGGCGGCGAGGGTCCCTTACGGCAAGAGCGGCTTCGATATGCTCTCCGTCGAGTGGAAAGATGCCCGTTGATGTCCTTTTGTTGCAGGACGGAATAAGATTCAGATTCAGAAAACTTTATTTATCCCAGAAGGGCAATTCCGTTTCACAACCTACCAAGCCATTGAAAAACGCAAAGACAACATAAAAGGAAACAAACACATCACCACAGCATTCAAGCAGTTACATTCACATGTCAGTAACAACAATTCAACAGACGAATAGGTCGTCAAGTGAGAAAGCCAGCGCTATCAATCTACAATTTCCTAATACAATGACAGACTTGTTCAGCATTCAACAGCCTGATAGCTGAAGGGATTAAAGAGTTGGAGTATCTATTTGTCCTCCTTGGAGGGGCAAAATAGCGCCGTCCAGAGGGCATTAAAGAAAACTCGGATGAGACAACATGTTCAGGTTGGTTTATGATCCCTTTGGCTTTCTGGACCACACGCTCCTTCCACAGGGAGCTCAAGTCTTTCAGCTGGACTCCAAAAATCTTAGAGCAGACTTTTACGATGTGGTTCAAACTGTTCTTGTCCTTCACAGACAACCCATTGAACCAACAGATAAAAGAAAATGTTAAAAGACTTTCTATAAAAGAATGATAAAAGCTACATAAAATGCTTTGTGAAACACTAGAAGAGTTCAGCCTCCGCATCAAATGAATTCTCTGTTGGCCTCTTTTCACGATTGACTCTGTGTTTTCAGAGAACTTAAATTCAGAGTCGAACACTGTCCCAAGGTATTTATATGAGTCCACTATTTCAACCTCTCCACCATGGATAATGCTAGATTCAGGGTGACAACAGTTCTTAAAAATCTATGACCAATTCCTTGGTTTTCAGGACATTAAGATCCAGGAAGTTGTCATCGCACCACTTAACAAAAGTTGGTAGAGCACCGCCATGGCCTGATTCTGAGCCCTGAAGGAGGGACAGCAGAACAGTGTCATCTGAAAACTTTACCAGATAACTGCTCTCTTGTGATGTTCTGCAGCTATCTGTGTACATGATAAAAAGCAGGGGGGACAGGACACAGCCCTGAGGGGAACCAGTGTTTGACATAATTATTTTTGACATTTGACCATTCACGAAAACCTGCTGAACTCTGTCTGTTAAAAAGTTTAAGAGCAACATTAAAATCTGACCAGGAAGTTTAAAGTGAGAGGATAGTCTCTCAATTAAAATATGAGGCTGCATTTTATTAAAAGCTGAGGAAAAGTCAGCGAATAAAAGTCTGGCATGGGATTTAGGTTTTTTCAGGTGTTTGTACACAGTGGCTAAAATGAAAACCTTGGCGTCGTCCACACCTTTGCCAGCTTGATAAGCAAACTAAAGTGGATCAAGTTGACCATTTATTAATGAGACAACTTCTGCTTTTAGGATTTTATCAAATGTTTTCATAACAAGTGAAGTAAAAGCGACTGGTCTAAAATCATTCAAATCCTTAGGTTTAGCTACCTTAGGCACAGGGATAATTGTGGATGTTTTCCAGATGGGGGGTATCCGGCTACACTCAGCGCACATCTGAAAAAGTTTTGTGAATACGTCGCTGAGTTGGTCAGCACAGTGAAGCAATGTGCGCCCACGGATGGCGTCAGGGCCAGCAGCTTTTTTTGTATTAACTCCCTTCAGTAGAGTTGTGACAGTTCCCTGAGAGATCACAAAGTCATTCTGAAGAACAAGAGATTCTCTTACTAATATCGGGCTCTAATTAGTATAAGTGACTGACTTTAAAATGCTCGACCATTGAACCTCTAGCTGGTGTGAACATTCAAACACACGGATCCAAGAGCCGTGGATTCATTTCTTGAGTACAAGCAAAAAGTGGATGTATGGATTTCATGTAGACTTAAAGAAAGATAAATAAAGCAGAGTACATTACCTAAGCATCCAGGAAGGCAACAGGGAATCTAAGCTTCACAGGATCAGGCTAAATCAGAACTTACAGCCATGAACAAACTGAATTTGCAGAGCAGTGGAAACATGGTTGCAGAGTGACAGCGGGTGACATGCCCACATGTAAGGATCACCTGTTTCTTATATTTGGTCATGACACTGAGTGACTCCACCTACTTCTCGCTCAGGGAAGCTGCAGGCTTGAGATTTATAACATATATATTTATAACTTGTTTTCATACTGTTTTCTCCCCCAGGCTGAGTAGCTGTAACCTGACAGAGAGAAGCTGTGAAGCTCTGTCCTCAGTCCTCAGCTCCAAGTCCTGCAGTCTGAGAGAGCTGGACCTGAACAACAACAACCTGCAGGATTCAGGAGTGCAGCTGCTTTCTGATGAGCTTCCTTCACGTCAGGGGGAACAGACTCTGGGTCTACACTAATCCTGCTTTCTAACACCGACTGTCGCTCTTTTGAAATGTGTCTTGAAATTGCTTCTGTTATGGTTTGTGGCTACGTTAATGAAAATCCATTGATTGAGTCCGTCAGTAATCATCGATGATCATTTCATAACGCCATCTTTATCGTGTCTCGTTCTCTTCTTCAGATTCCTGTGAACTCACAATCGACACCAACACGGTAAACCACAGAATCCAACTGTCTGACAACAACAGGAAGGGGACACTTGTGGAGGGCTCTGTGTTATATCCTGATCATCCAGACAGATTTGACCCCACTGCGCTGCTG